AAGACGCAGCCCACGGACTCCAGCGGAGAAACGGCAGTAGCAGATGCGAAGCGAATAAAGACGGCCTATCGGACTAAGTATGTCATCCCGTTGGACTTTGAAGTGATTACGAACCATGGTGTGTACTACCCCAGTCAACTAAGCGAGTTACAGTTCGAAGTAACCCTGGCCGATACGACCAACATCCTTGGAGAGATGTCCACCGCAATAAGCGGAGCCGTCGATCCCTATTCTATCACCAACTTAGAGCTGCAGTACGAAACGGTGTACAGCGAAGAGTTGGCCCGCAGCGCCGGCATGGAATACAGTGCTGGTAAGGCATTCCTTTACGACCACGTGGTAATGTATAAAACATTTAGCTTTCTGGATAAGACGGACGAGGTCATTAACCAAAGCATTAACCTCCCCAGGCGCAGCCTCACTGATGCTGGTGTTCGCCAAACCCTACGAGGCCAGCAAGCGCGACTCCGAAGCCTTTCACAACCCCAACATTACTAACGTGGGGGTAAATGTCAACGGAGTACCTAACAAGGTCTACTCCCAGGGAATATAGCCCGCAGACGTGTACAGGGAGGCAATGCGCAAGTTTGGCGACCAAATTAGTCCTGAGGAATTCATTAAGGATAAGTACGCGTTATGGATTGACATGCGCAACACCAACGACGAATCCATGCACGGCCAGGGTCTGCGGCTGGTCAACACCCAGGATGGTATTACTTTGGAAATCAAGCGCACAAAGAATGCCTCCGCGGGCGACGGCGACAAGATAAACTGCTACGTCTTCGTCGTGTCTGACGCGCAGCTAAGCGTAGAAATGAACCAACTTAAAAGCGTTGCTTATTAAAATATCCTTTTGATATACCATGTTACGCGTCTTCGAAAACAACGACACCAAACTGCAATGCATAGTGCGAGGCGATCGACTGTACTTTAAGGCAAAGGAGGTGGCTAATGCCTTGGGATACGCCAACTCGAGAAGCGCAGTAAGAGAGCACGTCTCAGAGGAAAACAAGGTAACTCTGGGGTCTATCAAGGGTGTCGACCACATCGACACCCTTAATGCGCAGCCACATTCCGTCTACGTAACAGAAATGGGTCTTAAGGAATTAATATTTGGGTCTGAAAAGTCCGCAGCTAAAGAATTTAGAAAATGGGTGTTAGGCGATGTCCTTCCCACACTGCGTAAGACAGGTAAGTATGAGATAGAGCGGCGTTTTGACAGCCCTAATAATTTGGTATTCAAGATCGAGAACGAATTCGACCTGCATAAGAAAGTCATAGACTACATCCGTAAGTATTACCCCCAAATGCTCGTGACCCCTGGTCTCGGTGAACTGCAGGACTCCGACGGTAAACGCATAAAGTGCTGGCAGAAAGGAAATCAACGCGGCCAACCCAACTTATTAATCCTTAATGCACACGTGCGATACCGTGGTTTCTGCGTCGAGCTGAAGACTCCAAAGGGCAACGGGGTATTATCTGAGGATCAACGTCGCCTGTTGAACAGCTATAAACAGAATGGTTTTAAAGTAATGATCAGCAACGACTACGATGATATTTGCAGGAGTATCACGGAGTATGCACAAGGAATGCGTTTACCATGTGCATACTGCTGCAAGCGCTTTAAAAGCACGCAGACTCTAAGGACGCATTTTAAGATATTCCATAGAATATATAATTGATAAGGACAAATTCAATGAGTTAAAGTTCATACAAACGCACTGGAGGGAGCTGACGGTAGGGGAAATTTACGAGATAAAGAATTACGTGGCCTTTGAAGACATCGACCGTCTGCGTTTGGTCTTAAAGAATAAAAAGAGAATATACACCCTTTGGGCTCCTGATAGGATAAGGTACGCCATTGAAGGGCAGGATGTTACCCATGTTATGAGCCATGGTAAAAAGGATGGCAGGTGGGTATTTGACGTAGTTACGTATGAGCCAGAGAGTCCTCTGCATGGTTAGAGGCGTCTAGTAGAGTCCTCTGAGCCTTTGGGTCGGCTGCGCACCAATGCCCCACAAAGGATTCCTTAAGGAATGCACTGCCACAATGGAGGCAGGTGTATTTTTTACGCGGTTTAGAAACAGGCTTTTCAGTCAAGAGGCAGTCCGACGGGGGTTCGCATGTAATGCAGTCCATATATTTAAGGATGACATACTGGTCTTATTAATTAAGTGCGAAGAATGCAGTAGGATTTTCAGTAGCAAGCAAATGCTTAATTACCACATTTCCCACAAAGTATGCAAAAAAGTGAAGCCCAGCCTTGTCTGCAAATTTAGCAGTAAGCAGATGCTGGGTTACCATACTTCCCACATGGTGTGTCAGAAACACCTCAGGAATGTTAAATAGAGGTTAAGACTTTGTTAAGCCAGGTCTGGGGCGTCTCCAAAAGATGGTCTGGAATGTTAAATGGTGGTTAAGACTTTGCTAAGCTACCCACCAAACTCTCCCAAAAGATGGTCTGGAATGTTAAATGGTGGTTAAGACTTTGTTAAGAGACAGTTGGGTATGTGTTCCTCCTCTCTTACACATCCACATATCTCACATTGCTGCCTCCAATATTCCCTGTTAGTCCATGGGACACCTTCTAACGCGTCAAAGCGGGGTAGCGTCCTACTTATCTTCCTAAAGTAATCTATTCGATTCCTTAGGTAATCATCCTTATGTTCACAACGACTCATGAGATCGCCGCACTGGTAACAATCCACTCCTTCCAGATCGTACTTCTCTGCAAAGAATTGGTATTTCTTCTCATGTCTTTTTTTATGTGTCTGAAGACGTTGGCGGCTACTAAGAACCTTATCACAGTAACTACACTGCGTAGTTCTACGGCAAACCCCCTTTTTGACGTGGTACTGCAGCTTCTGAAGAGTGCTGAACTCCCTATTACAGCCATTGCAGACCTTACTGATTGGCTTCTTTGTGCAAACTCCATGCCAAACGTGGTATTGCAGTCTTTGTTTGGTACTAAATACCTTCTTACATTTCAAGCAGTCCATATATACTTAACAATATTTCAACCTCCATTTAACATTTTGAGGCATCTTTTGGAGGAGTTTGACGGTAACCTTAACAAGATCTTAACCATATCTTAACATTATGAGGCATTTCTTACGGGAGTCTTGGACCCAGCCTAACAAGATCTTAACCCCTATTTAACATTCTAGACCATCTTTTTAAGGAGCCCACGACCCAGCATAACAAAACAACAACCAATCCTTAACATTTAGATTGGGTAGCGCATGAAGTCCACGACGGACTCCTTAGCCCACATTGCCATCGTTACCATCGCACCAAAGCGTTCCCCGCGCTTAATGGCACTCATTTCATTTTTGAGCTCTCCTATTTCCTCTCTTAGGCGTCTGATTTCCTCCTCCTGCTCGTTAACCAGCTCTGCTTTCTTCTTTAAGACCTCCATTGCACCCTCTACCGCTTTCACAGGCTCCATATATATGAAGGACATAGCCCCTCCTAAAATATAAGCATGAACCCAGACCACATGCCCTGCAATGCTTTGATCGTAGGGCCTTCTGGCTGCGGAAAGACCCAATTCGTAGTAGAGCAGCTATTAGGACCCTTTAGATACCGATTTGACTACATAGTACTGCTTTGCCCCACCTACGTGAATAAGCGCACCTGAACGGGCATAGGCGTGAAAGATGACGACTTCTTCGTAGATATCTTAGACCCCAATGAGTTATCCAGCCACCTTAAGTTTTGGCATAGACAATTCCCTAAGGATACGCAAACTTTACTCATACTGGATGACATCGCCTGCGGGGACGACGTAAAAAGACGCACGTCGGAGTTAGTAAAGCTTGCTTTCAGCGGCAGACATGACAATATTAGCGTTTGGTTGCTCTCGCAGCAGCTTACCAGTGTCTCTAAGCCCTTCAGGGAAAACATAGGCTCTTTGGTCGTCTTCTACACACCCAGTAAGAGTGATCTGGAAACCATCTTAAGCGACTACGGCGGCGAGATAAGCAAGGAAAAGCTGCACGAATACATGCGGCATCTAAAAACGCACCAACATTCCAAGATGATCTTCTCTTTGAGGTTTCCGTATTTAGTAAAGATCTGCCATCTTTAAAGTCTTTGATTCCTAATGTATACGGAGATTGAGCAGCTCATAGATGAAGTCCCCACACAGCTAGACGAAAGTAACCTTAAGGAACAACTTAACATCCTTGTGTCTTCTGGGAAGTGCAAAGAAATGATAGGCAAAGAACTTACCCATGAGCAGGTTAATAAGTTGTCGGAAGAGGAAGTCAAGAAGTTCCATAAGAGGTGCGAGGCCGTCCTTGCAAGTAAGACCACGGACGCCGTAGCAGACTCCACAATTAAGCTGGCCACCAAGCTTCTCGGACTTGTGCTGCCCATAGACGACGTGGAGCAACTACAGAAGGACATGAGCGAGGACTATGTCATCGCCCAAGAACTTAAGATAACCTGTGGGTGGTTGTCTTTGAAGTGCGGTAAGTTAATGGCGGTCGCCTCTGCGGCACTTCACGTAGCTCAGCATGTTGCTTGAAAGAACTTACGATGTCTTGGAAGGACTTCAAGAAGGACAGAGAAGTCGAAAGGATATTTACGGCAGCACTTGCCGAGGTTGACAAAGAACCTAATCAAGTACCTAGTTAAGTCATCCGCGGGAGTTACTCAGGTCACCATAAGTACCTAGTCAAGTCATCCCTAAGTACTTGGTCAGGTCATCCTCAAGTCCTTCAAGTCCTTAGTATAAATGAGTGAACCAGAGTCGAAGGTAGAGCAACCTCGGGAGGAGCAACAAATCACCAAGGCTAAATCTCCAGGCAGGGTAACTGCCGGGAAGAAGCTCGCAGAGATGAATAGGAAGAACAAAGCCAAAAAGGAAGAAAAAGCGGAGGACGAAGGCGAATCCTTCATTAATCCAGGGTACGTAATTGGCGCATTAGGAGTCGTCTTGGCCGCAGGCAGCCTCTACTTTCAATGGCAGGCTGCGAAACCAAAGGTAGAATTAAAGGCCGTACATGTGACGCAGGAGCCCCCGATGAGAAGCAGAATACCCGAAATGGAATAACCTTCTCGCTCTGTAATATAATGTCAACCGCGTTATTGAAAACTGTTGCCGAAGCAGCTATCATTACTTCCATCGTTGCGGATATCGGTTGGGTAGGTAAGAAAGTGCTCAAAGAAGACTTTACTGAAGACCCAAGTAAGAGCTTCGCTAACTTTGCTAAGATGACCGCTGCCGTAGGCGGGGCTATCATGGTAAAGGATTACCTACGGAAGGAAAAGTACCTGCCTAACATATAAATGGCTAGC